TCATCCTGGCATCTGGTACTGTGTTCCTGTCCTCTACACTGAGAGGTCCACATACTGAAAGACAAACCAAGAAATACATGTTTACATGTTTAAATGCATTTTGATCACTTCGAGTCATTTTTTGTGTCTTTATGACATAAAGCAATCACCATGGCAATAAATCTAATCAAGCTATGTTGCTTATATACAATAGAAAGATGGATGTATAGAATAGATATATAATTTTACTCAAACACGGTTAAATCCCTTTAGCCTATCAATACTCACCACATGATTGCGATTGACAGTTTTTTCCATGGTACCCTGGGTAACGAGATACATCAATGCAGGAGACCTGGTTAGGTCGAGACAATTAATAAAACAGTTACCTAGCTGCTGTATCAGCTACCTAACCGCAACAGTCAAGACAATATCGTCTATCTCCAGAGGCAGGATTTCAAATTTTTGAAAATTTAAGGTGGCCCTACCCTGCAAGACAAGGATCTTCTCTTTCTTCTCGGTGAGAGGCGAGAGAGAACGTCTGCTCGCAACTGATTGACCTTTTGACAGGCTGCTGTCCACCACCTGAAACCGACACATTAAAAGTCCTGGTTTTTGGCAACTTAGAGTTTAACTGGTTTATAACTTACGCATGACAGATAGGATTCAAAACGCTTTCTGTTTTCGAGAACTGCAGAAAATATTTGCTTCCCTGCACTGACATGGGTTCTTCACGTACGCATGCGCGCATCAAATTGTAAACTTTTGTCTGATGGAAAACAGGCAACCTTTGTTTGCACAGTTCAAGAAACTATTGCTATACATTAATTCACCATATCAAGCTATTTGCTGTTAAAGGAGCATGATGTTAGGGCTCAGGGCATCAAGGTTAAGTTTCTTTTAAAAAATCATTTCAAAATAGTTTCTTTATTTCCAGATGAGCTTGCAAATTGCGAAACATACGCGAGACAACGTGGTTTTGAACGAGCTAATTTTGGCTTGATTCGTCTGTTTCTTGGATGCTCAGTACTTCGTAGAACTTATCGAAATTTTTGTAATTTCACTAACAAATAAATGGTCAATAAGTCGAAATTTGCCACGATTGAACCGAAAATAACGAAAAATTTGATGGTATGTAGACGTTTCGTGTCACGAAGCACGTCTCATGCCACAACCTGATCTATTTCGCGCATGCGCGATTGAAAATCGAATGGTTGAGAGCAAGAGTCTTTTTTACGATAACTGCAGAAATTCTCGTGCGCACATTGGCTAATTTTTATCCTCAATAAGCGGACAGACGCATGAATTTATAATTTATGCAATGCGTCAGCGAGCGAGGGCGAACAATTTGACGATTTGTTTGTAGTCTGCGGATCCGCTTGGCTATCGCCTCGTGGATCCTCAGCTTCTTTGACAATGTTATGACGAAATTCGTGACCAATAACAGGACAGACGCATGAAAAACTGACGTCAATTTGTCAAATCGATCAGATAGAGAAGATAAATCTCTCACTCGCAGGGTAAGATGGCTCTTAACCCGCTCCACGGAATTGCTTCAAAATCTAGCATAAAGCTGTATCTTGGATTGAGTTAAAAGAACTCAAGACTAAAATTCAAGGCGTTGTTACTTGGTTTGACTATTTCTATAACACAACCTTGCCAGATAAGCACGGCTTGTTTACCAATGATTGGGTATTTGTGTCATGCCAATATAACAACATCACTTGATAAAGATATCCGTCAAAGTGTAATTGATGGAAAATGTTGTAAAGTGTCGTCAACCATCTTAAGCGGAAGGCAAACACTAACCTGTACAGAGCCATAGTAAGTAGATCCTTTCCTCCATTGAAAATCTCCTGGCTTCACTTGTCGTGTTTTGCTATTGAGCTCGCATTTAAGTCGTTTGGCACTGTTGTCATGGGGATGAACGTTAAAAGACTTGCAACCGTTATTCCCAATGCATTTCAACTGACATTCAAACTCGTCCACAACTA